TTCCGCTGAGCCTCTCCCCTCTGGGGAGAGACTCGGGGAAAGGGGGGGGATTTAAATGCCTGGGTTCCTTGCCCGATGTTCTCGAGGTGCCCCATAGGGAACCCAGCAGGGCAGGTAACCCAGGCATGACTGCCTCCCTGTGCTCCCCTCCCCTCCTCCAGCCAGCCCACTGGAAAAGGAGAGGGGAGGTGGGCAGCCATGCCCCCCCTTTCCCCTGAACCTCTCTGGATTTAAATGCCTGGGATTTTTATTTATTTAAAACTTTTTTTAAAAACTAGTTGGGCAGGCAGCCGGGCAGCCTCCGGGGCCTGCACAATGACAGAAGCCCCACCCCCAGCTTCCAGGAGCCCTCAGTTGGGGCTGCATGTGTGCTGCAAGGGTAAGTTGGCTCGTTTGGGGGGGGTTGTGGTGTGCAGTTTTGCAGGCAGCCTGGAGAGACGGCTGGAGGAAGGGATGGGGGAAGGGGAAGAACTTGGGGAAGGGGAACTTGAAAGCTTATACAATGTTATGTGTCATTGGGCTGGTCCTAATGAAACGTATCAAATGAGAGTCAAAAAGGTTGGGGACCCCTGACCTAAATACACGGTAACACTGTCAACAAAAAGCTGTCATCAGAACAGAAGACCAAGGCAAAGCGTTATGTGGCTAGCCTCCTGCTATGAAATATGATTCTACTTGTCAATTTTGATTATCATTGCAATGCTACCCTACCGGTTTCACAATCTTTGTCACTACATTAAGCTTAGCTTCCAGATTCTTCGACCCCTCAGAAGGAGAATCCCAACAGGGCAGCTCATACTTATCAGAATCTTCCTCATGTGCCAGTGAACCAGACAGGGAGATCTCCTGATCACTCTCATCATCTGTTGGAGCAACACACACACAAACAGTAAAGGCGCACACAGTACTGGTATTATAAGCTAAACTTGCTAATTCCCAACAACATGAAAACGGCATCCAAGAACCTAATACAGTGGAGAGATGTCAGCATTTGAGAAGACTGCTTCCATGCCTATAGACAGATTCACAGCCAGGTCCTCTGGGCAATTAAATGTATCTTGTCCAAGATCTACTGGGGCAGGTGAGAGAGAAGAAAAATATTGATGGAAGTGGTCTATAGCTTCAAAAACCAAGTAGACGCTACCAGAGTTAATACTACTTGACCAGAACAGGAAAATCCATTGGCCTGCAAATAACAAGTAAGGGATAAATGTCCCAGGATGTTTGTGTTCTGTGCTGGCTAAATTGAACATCAGCTGGATGATGAACATCCACGAGAAAAAATGGCTAAAGGCCATGGTGCAACTTGCTTTTATGGGCGTATGGAGTATATTGTGTCTCAAGGCAGACTAATAGTATTTTTATCACCTTCTTGAAAGCAAATGGTAGGTAGGAATTATGGGGCAACAGAATTATCCTTAGTGGAATGGCAAATAGGTATGTAAGAAATGCAACCTTCTGATGGACTGTAAAAACTGTATAGTAAACATTCAGATAGTACACTCTGAATGTACACCTGCATTATCCAACGGACATGAAAGCAGGGGAGGATGGCTCCTTCTGTTCCTGTGTGAGATTTTCATCCATTTCCCCTCGCAATGTAGGCCCCCTTTGATTTTTCCAGCAGCCCACTGATCACCAGAAGCAGGATTTTTGGATGGACTGCATGCCGGATTATGGAGCAGGGGGGAAATGGCCATGGCGTAAAGGAGTCAATCCCTTAGTACTTGGTTCAACCCATCCTCATCTTCTTGGAAGAACTTACCATCGAGTATCTTCTTGCTATCTGCTAAGCAATGTGAATTTATGTCAAAGATGCGCCATTCTTGTTCCCCTTCTTTGCACTCAATATGAAGAACATCGCTAAGGGCACCAACAAGCTCCATCACAGTTAAGAAACCCAACTCTCTCAGTGGCAAAATTTCTTTAAAATGAGCCTAATGGGAAAACAAAAAGTTACAACAAAGCACATCTGGGGGCGATCTTTGCTTATTGTGTAAACCATACATTAAAATATTTTTTTGATAATATTTATGTTTAAGTTAGCTTGACCCTTCAAACAGTGCTGCTCTCGTCTGGGACTGTCCAAGCTAGCAGCTCCTGAATGCAGGGACCCACGTGACCTCTGCCCTTCAGGGCCCCTCTCAAAGTCTTCTCATCTCAGTCCTGATGACAAGCGAAAGAGAGCTCCAAGGAACAGAGAGAGAGCTCCAAAGAACAGCTGGAGGAAGAGGCAGATGGAGGTGAGACCAACAACCAGAAGTATAAGTTGATCAAGTTGCCTCACTGGTAGGATTATCAACCTCCAGGTGGGGCCTGGAGTTCTCCCAGAATCACAACTGATGTCCGGAGGAAATGACAGCTTCAGAAAATGAACTCTATGGCTTCACATCCTTGCTGCACTACCTCGTCAGAAACCAGCCCCCAGTCTCCAGGAGTTTCCCAAACCAGAGCTTGGGGAAGTACAACTGGGCAATGAGTGTAATTGTCAGGCCTGAACATCAGTCAACACACCCCTATTCAAGAAAGCACTTGGACTTTAGTTTTATTTATGGATCCAAGACTTCAGAGCAATCTGAACTTTAATGCACCACTCCCCCGAGGATACTGCAGAGGGAAAGTTATTTCTTAAGGATTTCCCCCCCAAGATTATATGGCTTACACATTATTCTTCCCTCAAAGCAGAAACAAGGCTACAGTGTTTCAATCCATGTATCACACCAAACCACAGTTAAGGAAGCTTAACTAAAGTTTTGCAGGGCTTTTTTGTTGTTGTTTTTAAAGGGGTGCCAGAACTCTCAAAAGAGAAATGAAGTTTTCAATCTGTATACTGAAAACTCATGAAGTTTTAAACATTTTAAAAAGAATTTTGTCAGAGGTCCAGGAACTCCAGTCCACTGCGTTCCCCCAGAAAAAAAGCCCTGCAGTTTGTTATGATGCCTTGACTGGAAGTGAAGGACTGCACAAGGGGCGATTCTGCATCTAGCCTTCGCTCCACATTTTCTCAACTGGGAAGAAAAAGTGCAGCTCAAAACCACATTCAAATACCTCGGGGCAACGCCATCCTGACTGCAAAGTCATCCCTGAACGGCTATAAAATCTATGTAGAAGGTACCATAAAATCCGATGATCAAAGGAAGTGAAAGCAGCATGCAATGCAGAGGGGAATTTCTGTTCCAATGTGGGTTTCGTAAAACAATGGAGCGAAAAGCCAATGCAGAATCAGCAAGGTCTCCTTCCACCAAATACACCAGTACTCCACAGGGGGCAGTAGAACTAAAAAGGTCAATAGGATATCCTTCCTCTTCGGGTCTGCTGCTGTTCGTTTACCCAGACTGCTACTCTAAGGGACTTCCTTACAGCCACCTCCTTCTCTTCCTGCTTCTTTGTCTAATCTCCATAAGTGCAGCATGTTTCTCCATCCTAGCCTAGATATATAGCTAGAATCAGGGCTTTTTTTGTAGAAAAAGTCCAGCAGGAACTCATTAGCATATTAGGCCACACCCCTGACAGCACAGCTCATTAGCATATTAGGTCACACCCCATGCCTTCCCTTGGCTTGTCCAGGCCCCCTGTGGCTGCGGGGAGCCCGGGCAAGCTGACCCTTGGACAGGCCGGGGAGGCATTTAAATGCCTCCCTGATCCTTCCAGGCCCCCCCGGGCCCCCCGCCTCAGAGTTGCCGGGGGGGGGATCGATTTGTCCAAAAATAGCCCTGGCTAGATTAGCTCATTTTTCCTTTCCCATCTTAGCGTAAAGTTCTTTAACTAAAATTGTGAAAACAGACATCCATTTACTTTCTAAATTAAAAGGCCTCATTTGGACCTTAGGAATAATGGCTACATCCTCTGTTTGCTG